TCAGCTGATGTCGTCAGTCAATCATGCTTGTGAGGCAGCATGAGAAGATGGTAGTTGAATCAAGTATGCTTGATTGATGAATAGCTATACTTGATGTGGTGTTAGATCTTAAATGGAATTTATTATGTAATCGATTATGTCTTTGATTATGTACAAGGGACAGCAGTAGAATCTAGTCACAGGTAAAACAATTAAAGGTAAGATTTCTAATTCGTGAAGGATTTAATAATCTGTATTTGTAGAGTCTATTAGTCGATCTGTGTTGGTCTTGTGTAACCAATGTGTGTGAACCACAGTGACTCTTCAGTCAGCTGTTCAGGGCCTGTACGGTTTCGAAGTGTTCTTCGGAAGAGTGCTAGCGGGCCTGTACGATGTCGAGCGGTTAGTTCGAGAGAGCGTAAGTGTGCCCGATCGACAATAGCGAGAGATGTGACTTGTTTATTTATTAATATAAAGATGTACCTGGTAAACTGCAGGTTGGATGTATTCGATGCTATGTATGTAATGTTCCCTTTGATTACAATTCCATTGGCTACACTGTAATCACTTATTAAAGAACTGCCGATTATCTTTTCTATGCACGCGGGTACTCTTTTTTATGCTGCCGAAAATATGGCCACGCGGCGTCTTTACAGTATACTATGCACTGACCGGCAGTTACGCTTGATGGAGAGCGAAGTGATTTTACGAATGAGCATCGCCTTATGGCGCGTTGCGCTTAAATGTGCATGCGGCGTCTTCAGCGCCGGCAACAGTGTCGATGCACGTCCCTTCCAGAAATTTTCCTTTGGCGTGAGAAAACGAGGCTTCTAGAAATTTCGCAGGCGTTCCTTTTTTGTGAGGCCTGGCAGTAAATTATATTTCAGATCGTAAACTTGCTCGGACTTGCCCAGTTTTGTTTGTAAACATTTTGCTCGAGTACCCGCCTCGGTCCGCACGTGCGGATCAGCCTAGGCGCACGTGGTGGTCAGCCTTGCTGCACGCGCGGTCAGTCTAGGCGCACATGCGGTACGCCGGACTGCGTATATGACCTTTCTTTTGTTTGAAATTCATGGGACTGCTTCAATCCCGAACAACCGTAAGGATTTGAAACGAATAATCATTGCTCAAAAGTTAGCTTCTAAATATATAATTATATTATTTAGATATAAATTTTCTATATCTATGAAACTAACTTTTATTTCTATTTTATTCACAAATTTGTGTTACTCATATATCTGTTCGGAATTTGAGCATTTTCCGAGACTTCGGCTTTTCGAAAGATATAAGCCTTCTAGCTGTCAAAATTGGTAAAAGTCGATTCCGAGAATTCTCGAATATTCCAAAGTCTTACTTTCAAATGTCCTACTATGTTTATCTGGTCTTCAAATAGTAACATCATTTGGAATTCCCCAAACTTCTAATGCCTTGCTTTTCTTGGAGTTCTCGAAAATTCTAAAGCTTTAGTCTCACGTGTTATGCAAGATTTCCCACATAGCAATACCTATACATTGTTGCCAGCTAAGTAGGCTGACGCGCGAATATTTAATGGAAGCACACTACGTTTAGGCGCTCGTAAATTATTCAGTCAATCAGTTATCAGTCATTACGCTATTCAACTACGCTATGCAGCCAGTGCTTTCTGCCATATACCAGTTACACTCATTGTAAATAAGCCATTCGGCCAGAGTTTACAGCTATAAGCTAATCAATCAGTAACGCTAAAACAGTGAAGCCATTATAAGTAATACACGATCAATTATAAAGTGCGCAACAATTAACAAGCAGTCAAGGGTGCTAACTGCATTTCAAGAATTCACGGCTTTAAGAAGTATAGCCTTAAGGTATTCCTTAACAATTATTCAGTCACCACACGTCCTTCCAGGAGTTAATACTGCTTATTACTAATGTAACTATTAATAAACCATATGTTAACGTTAGTCTGCATATACTATACATTTCTACAGCCCTTTCACTTGACTCCTTCACAAACATCTGATAGAGCGGACCGCAAATTATTATAAAGCTATAGAAACATTGGCAGTTCGAGCTAATAAATCAACCAGTTTCGAACATTTGGTCCTTCAAGTCGAATCGGTGGATAGTAGTGCATCTCACCAGTGTCGTGTACAAGTGCAGCTTCGAGAATTCACCAGTTACTTTTTATCACTAGACCATCGATAAAGGAGGCATCCAGGGCTTACGACCTCCCACCTCTGTGCAGTGCAAGGTAACAACAACATGACGACCAAGGAAAATATAGAAGGAAAAGGCAATAAGACTCCTAAGAAATCTGCACTCAGGAGTATTCTCCAACACCTTTACTCTCTGAATACGAGAGAAAGGCAAAAACTCAATGGTCTCAAATCTCATTAATAAAGGAATTGGCTGAAGAATATGAGTCATCACAATGCGACATCTCACCAGATCAACTTAATGATACATTGTCACAAGTCGAGGAATTACACAAGGTCTTCAAGGATCATGCGTACTTGAACGCTATCTGGCCATCTGCTCATATTAACCACGACAATTTTGTGAAAAATGTATATGGGAAGGAGTTCGCACAACATAAGACGACGTGAAAGAACATCATTAAACTTCCCCAAGCCTTTAAGATAGTTTCCCACGTAAGAGACACGTCAGCAATCAAGGTACAAGGACAAGGAGCCCGACTCCCAAACATCAGTCTTCTCAAGTTTTCCAATATGCCCTAAATTCAATGAATGTCAGTATTAGTGAGACACAATTTGATAAACTACGGAATTTGCTCCACTGGTTTAAGAGACCATATGGGCCTCAGCAAAAGCTCTATAAAATGCCAGAGGTGCTTCAAAGAGCACCACTCTCTACTACACGAGGAAGACAACGGAGAATGCACTAAAGTTATTAATTAAAAACCCATCATCCAGATGAGATGATGGTGTAATGGTCGAAACAACAATGGATACTACCACATTATCAGTCTTTCCACTTGACTCCTTTCCAATCATCTGTAAGGGCGGGCAGTAAATTATTATAAAGCTATCGAAACTTTGCCAGTTCGAGCTCAAATCAACTACTTTCGAACAATATGAAATTATTACGAATCTTAGGCAGATAAAAATAAAAAAAATATTTATAGACTTTTTTCTAGCTCTCCAATATATAGTATACAGGTATATTCCAATAATTATGTAATATATTTTTAAAACAATAAAATATTTATCACCGGCCATTGAGCGCATATTGGTGAACTAAAATTAATTTCCAAAATATAAAATATAAGACCTGGCATCTCAGTCAGCTTTTGAAGTAGCTTTTTACAATGTTGCATCGTGAAATCACCAAAATGAGTTTAGAATGTCTTAAATGATATTATATATAAAAAGAGAATCATGTAATCACCAACTTAGTTGGGCTCATATAGCCGACGGCAAGAAGTGAGTTATTGATTGAATTCCAAGTGATGGCGGAGACACGCCTCGTGCACAGGTCATCCCGTGTATGCTGCCAAAGTAATTCAAGCCCGTAAACAAGTTCGAGATCAGGATCACAGGGATCTTGCCGCAAAAGCCCCACGAATCGCTTTTGCTCCTTCCCGTAATATTTGTTTGCAAGGATGTGTAAAATTATACGCGATGCTTCCTCATACGAATCCTTTGACGCAATGATCCCCAGCTCATCATCGGGATCACGACATTGCTCTTTAGGTTTTGGTTCGTCGAATTTGAAACGGTTCTCCTATTAATATAAGGTACTCGTAATTATTCATGATTTTTAATGCGCATTCTCAAAACTCAATCCCTCTTATTTGCCCGTGAATGTCGCGATGGAAAGAAAAAATTTGTAATTGTCACTGGCTAATTAGTAGCTAAATATTATATTAGTCTACACAATACTGCAGGTAATTATTATTCAGATTCTCAATTAGTCTAAGCAAAATTTAAATTTTTTAGAAAAATTTCTTATTGTTAAAACTAATACCTATCATTTTATCTATTTGCTTAAGGATATTGAACTATTGAACATTGTCTGGTTCGATTCAATACATATAATATACAAAGAAGCATAAAGAAATTTTATATGAATCTTATAGAAATAATTCTAAACAGGAATGTAAAAGTTATAAAGTTTTACTTTAACTAAAAAGGGGATCCTGTTTAAAATTTTAAAATTAAAACAATCAAGTGTTTTCAGGACAACAGACTACCTTATATAGCTTCTCGGTGTTAGAATTCTTGTTCTGCAAAGTATCGAACATTATCCAATTATTAACAATTGTAGCATGATTCTTTCGTTCCTGTCTGCCGACGCAGGTACCCCGTGTCTTTGTGTATATCTGGGGTGTTTGAGTCTCTGTGTTCATAGTCTTGCGCTTGCTTGTAGCAAGGACTTGCTTGTAACGCTCGTTTTCTTCAGCGACGAGCTGACCCTCGGTCGAGGTCGTATCAGCCGTCAATTGCGGTAACTCGAAGATAAAAAACGTCTCTGTCTCCTTGAGAACTATGGTCACCCTGTCCATCGGTGACGTAATCGCTTGCGAGTCCAATCTATTCAGATATTAAGCATATTTATAAATTACTTTTATTGCTTTATCTTCGCTTAACTTTGAGGCTCTTTTATTCAATTTAATAATCAAAATTATATTTACAACGAGTTACAAAATGAGGTAATTCCATATATCAAGCCCCAGTTAAGTTTATTCCTTTACTACTTATTAATCAATTTTATTTAAATTTATATAACAATATTATATTGAGATGAGTTAATACATAAATAATATAAATAAAAATGAACTTACTGGGGCAGGTGGAATTGTGAAGGCACATCTTCGGTATCTTCAATAACATCAAAGGTCTTGATAGAGGCTTTATTTGATTCCTTTGTGAAACTGATAATGCTGTCGTTGCACTTCGCATCAATGATCTCGTCGAGAGAATAGATAGAAGAAAACAAGGGCGAAGATATGACGTAACTAGTACGTACATGATTAACACTAGTGCTCCGAGAGTTCTCCAATTGGGCGAGACTGATTACATCAAAGGCAGTGCGTTTGTCTTCCAAGCTGCTGTAGAGCGGATTCACAAGGAAGCGTGGCGTTAGATCCTCGCCTTCGTAATAAATACGAAGTCGATCGCGTTTTTGAAGAATCGTCATAGCGACCTGGATATATTTTGTAATCAAGTTCATGAGACTTAGAGTTTTGACAAATTAATGATTGGATTGATTATGAGTTGATTGCGCCGATTAACATGTTACGTGTAAAAATCAAATATCTTGTAGAAATAAATTTATGTGATACATATGTTTATAATATGAACGATGATCGATACAGTTTACAAAAGATCATTACTGTAATAACTGTTATCTTTTTATAATCAATAATCACATACAAGTTATTTTCTATAAAACGATACTAAAACATTTTAATAACTAAATTATTACCTTCAATATAATAGTTGTTTAACATTGAAAAATTCAATATTAAATGTTTATGAGGGCAGTATATTTTTAACGAATTGTAAATAACAATTTTAATTTAAATTTCATTGAATTTAACTTCCTCATACATTATTAAATAATATTAATCTGCTTTAATCGTTTGATTTTCTGAACTCCTATAAATAAATAATAATCAGCTTTTTACAGTTTCTTCAATTAATTTAATTCTTAATTGTCTATATATTCAATGTCAAAAAGGTAAATTTGCCTATATTGAATATGTTGTAAAAATTTCAAATATAATATTAAAAGGCACTTGTAAGCCGTATATGTAATTATAAAAAGTTTAATAAAATATTATGTAGGCAATTTTGGTATTACTGTATTTATTAATTTAGCAGTTTATACAAAATCATATAATAATTAAATATTGATTGAAATAATATAGTTTTATTTCTATGACTTTAGAAAATCGAAAAATATATTGTTTTGTTAAATTAACACGTTAAAAACTGATAATCAATTCTATTCAATACCTTATGCTCGAAGTAATTGGAAGATTTTGACAAATAAAAAGATAAGGATAAAATTTAAAGATTTTATAAATCTTTCTAGGATTTGGAAGGTACACTAATATCAAAAGTCAGAAGACACACACATATTATTATTATAGATCAAAATAAATATAGAATCATAAATGAGTAATAACATATATTAAGCCTATTTGTAAAACTCTACACCTAAACTATGTACCCACCTGCTGAAGGTGTTGTTGTTGTTGGGCTGGATGTTGCCTTGAAGTCATTTTCGATGAATAACGAGTCTGGCGCAAACGGGAAGATTCCGATACGCTATGTTTAATATGTGAAGATATGTTGCTCTGATATCTGGACGCATGCTCAATCGAAGACACCTCAAAGATATTTTTTTGATGCTGCATCCTCATTACCGTTAGATTCAAACTTTACCAATAATGTACGTCCGTAATCTTTATACAAATTTAACGATACGTTCATATCTCACAAAACTTATAAAATATTTCTTTATGATTTAATTATAGTCGTAAATGTGTGGATTCCGTAAAAATAAGAATTTTATCGTATTTGCAATTCAGATTGTATGTTATATACTCAAACTGAAATTCTAATGTATACAAAATGTGCTAACCCATGAAGTTGTTTCTTTTAATGATTCGATAATTGATAAAACTAATCTTCGTTGTTATTGTAATTATATATTTTACATTCTATATTTCTTGCATAATTATACAAAATTTACGTTAATTTTAATATTTTAATAAATTTATACAGTGGATAATATAGTAATTTTCCAGCGATCTAATATCATAAGATTAATGCATAATCACATCAATATATTTTACAGTTGGTAAATATTTTAGAATAGTATTCTTCAATCTAATTGAAATAAATCAATTTCTTGTATTTTAAAAACTGAAAATTGAAATTATTATAAAAAAAAATATAACTTGTATATTATGATTATGACTCCATTTTATTTTAATATTTGACAATTATATAATTGTAGTAAGCTGAAACTTTTTTAAGCATTTATAATTTACTACAAATTAATGAACTAAAAATATGATTATTAAATCAACTGCTTTATAATAAATATAAATCATTATTATCAAGTTAAAAAGCTAATATGAGTATATTCTTAAATTAAATAAATTTACTAAAATGAATTACTATTTGTATTGATTGCTAATTTTACTATTATAATAAAAATATACCTTGATTGTGCATATTACTTATTATTAACGATATTATTCCAGAAAATGGTAATTATATTCATTAATTATAGTCTTTTTAATTACAAAATTACATTATATAATGTAAATTTTTACTAAAAAATTATTAGCTGTTATGAAATAAAATTTTAATGTCATTTTTTAAACATTTTATGAAATTTTCAAATTTTTTAAATTTAATTGATCCGAATGCATTTGAAATATAAATTTCTTAAAACTTTTGATGTTGATAATTTACAGCAATAATTATTAAAAAGGAATAGTTTTAAGTTCTGTCAATATGAATATGTGATAAGATTATTAAGAAAATTAATAATTTTTGTAACAAACTTATTTAACAAAATTTTAGTTTTAAACTTGGCGCTTTTTTCATATACTATTGATATTCCCTTGCCCCTTTCACGCTCGCACTCGAACACTCTCTCTCTCTCTTTCTCTCTCTCTGTCATTATGTTCTTTCTCTTTTTTTCTTTTCACTCTCACTAAAATATCTTGTTTTTATGAGCTCGACAATCCGGAAATAAAACAAAACACTTACGACTACGTTGGCATAGAACGTAACGTGTTCGTGCGTCAAATCACTTACGTGTTGTTTTGAACAGTTTTTTTTATCCAACTATTATACTTTCTACCTAGTTCCTATTTTGTAATTTACCTCGCTCTCTGTTTCTCTGTATCTTTATTATATATTATATATTATTATTATTCTGTATTTTATTATATTATTATACATTATTGTTACCAAGTTCTTTTTAAATATTTTGTATCTGATACTGCAACAAATAAATGAAATGAATATAAGAAATTGCGAAGTGTAAAAAAAGGAAACACAACCCATACACATCTCGGTGTCAGGTATAATATTTTTGTTTTTTTTATATAAATTCATCAAATATTGTCATTTATGTACACAAAACGTATATTATGATTTAAACCATATTTTATTATGTAAGTATAGTGATAAGACGATAAACACGATAATGAAAACTTAAGTCTGTTCCGTATTCTTCAATGACTTCAGTTTGTGGAATATTATTTTAATTATCATGCTTACTCAATTCGACATAGACTGTTCCTTCGAAACAAATTTATAATTGAATCTGAATTTACATACTTTATATGCTAATTTTTCGTTAGACTTTGATAATTTATTTAATTAAATAATTTAATTTTAAAATAAACCTTTGATATTTGTGTGTTTATTTTATAGAATTAAAAAGACTTCCTTGAAATTTTTTATAAAAAAGCGTTTTGTTTCAACTAGATTTCCGATTAAAAAATTCAATGAAATTTCTCAATTTACAAATATTTTAAAAATATTAAAGTTTATTATCATATTGTCATAAAACTGAAAATGCTTTTTCATCTTCTATAATACTTACATATGTTTTTTATCTATAAATAATTGATTTAAAATTTTAGTTACAAGATAACTGATGCCAATAAATATACTAACATTTCCCAAAAATATGATATAGTTTCTCAAACTCAAAGACGGGAATAATATCAAGATAAATCTATTTTAATAGAAAACAAATAGCTGGTTTTAAACTTCCAAGCTTGGTTTTTCATTCGAATGAGGTTTAAACGTAATGTTAGTCGATATGTACACTATTAACCAGAGGTATTATTTTGTTAAATATCTCATTAATAACCATTAAAATAATAGAATAGATTTATATTTTCTATTAATTGTCTAGAAATTTGTTTTATCATTAGTATATATAAAAATCATAAAGAAAATAATTATTGCCTAGTATTCCAAAATGGCTTTAAATTATTTTAAATTATCTTTTTTAATTTTCATTCTAAAATTCTTTATTCTTTTAAATTAAAAAATCTTTTAACATGTAAGATTGTGATTTTTCTATTTCATATCGATATATATTTTCAATTATATACAATTAATTTAAAACTTTATAAATGCTTTTCTTTCAATTTATTCGTACATAGCTTTTTGTAGATGATTTATAATTAAGTTACAAAACTTTTCAATATCAATATTTGCCCATAAAATTTGTAAAATATTCTTCTAAAAACTTCTTCCTATGGTAAAAACAATAAAAAGTACAAATAAATAGACTTCAATAAAAACAATACATATTAATATACAAATATTCATGTAATACTGCATGCGTTTTTTAATAATAATATATAAACTCTTTCGAATTTTTCATAATATATAAACATTTCATCCAATTACATTATAATCATACTAAAACTTTCATATATCTGTTTAAAATGTTAAAATTAAATTTATTCTACTACATAAAGCTAATTATTTTATTGGATTTATACAATGAAATGATTGTTAATAAATTAAATAATGTTCAAATTGATCTATTAATAATCACTATATTATATCATATAATGTTTCAGGAAATGTTACATTAATTTTTATTATCTACAAAACTGACCATATTTGTGCATTATAAAAATTAATACATTTTGAATATATAAATATTATAAAAATTACATTACATTTTTAATAAACATATTATTTATTAAATTTTTTTTCTCAAAAATATAAAAATTATATTATTTTTAACAAAAATATCTATTTTATTTATGGTAGTTGTAAAAATAATTATTAGAATTATTTAAAATTTATTATGTATAATAAATAAATCTATATTTATCAATATGATTACGTCTAAGTGTTTATAAATTGATGGATGATATTAAAATAAGGGCTAACACGAATTTTTCTCTGCGTGACTAAAATGAATAATTTGAATATAACATCTACGTCTTCAAATAATGTAGATATGAGTATTTATTCGTTTTGTTATACATCTAATCGCAGATCGCTTTATTAGGATGGATTTACCAATAAGGTTGAGGATAATTAAGTTGAACTCGTCTTATTCTTGAAGACGTGACTAGGATGAACGTAAGGTGTTCGAGTTTGATTGGTTAGAAAGTATTTTGAGGTGAAAGCCAGCTGTTGATCATCATAATATGACAATAATTAAAATTGACATAGATATTAAGTAATCAATAAGAAGACTTAATAGTGATAGTTTAAACAAAACTTAACCTTAAACTAAGATATAATTTATCTATGATAAATTGAAATAGTTTGAAAAGAAAGAGGCTTTAATTATTTTAACATTAAAGTAAATTAAACTTAATATGCATTATTTAATTAATTATTTTTATACCATTTGTAATATTTTTTGTATTAAAAACGGAAGTTCTATCTTCGACTAGATATTTCTTTACATTTCTATTATATGATTTATTCTATGCCAGAGAGTTGTATGACACTTGTACTTTAGACTTTGATATAAGAATATTAGTGCTATTAATCTCGTATTTCTAGCGTGGACAGATTTTTCGACTATCAAATTCTCATGCGTCAATAAGTAGTTTTGATATTTCTACGCTAGTAATAGCAAAGGGTATGTGCAGGTTCTGAAAAATCTATATCCGCTTATGCATATAAAAGCAAATGCGAGCGCAGTGCGTGTATGTGTATGAAAGTAATACATACGCGACAGCAGTGCCTAGAGAAAGATCAACAAAAAAGGTATTAGATAAAGAGAGATAGTTTTTTTTTATTTATTTTATCGATATCTTCATCCAATTTATATATTAATAACAATAATAATTATGAATTAATATAACTTTTCTACTTCATGGTGACTTGCTCAAAGTTTTGAGTTCAGTGGGCGAGCGCTTTCGAATATCGATAAAGCGCGTGACAGCTTGTACTATTTTACAAACATAATATACATTGTTCATATTTTATCACTGTTTTAAAAGTTCCTTTTTAATTACCATTTTAAACACCCAATATACTCTAATATTTATTCCTACATGATTATCTACAAAAAATGAAGAATCTTTCAATACTTTGAAAATATGTCAACATAAATTAATCAAAAGGTTAATCAATTTTATATTATTATATTTTACCATTATTATATTTCGGTCTTCTTTCTTGTTAACATATATGCTTTAAAATTTATTTTGATAATTTCATGAATGGTAATATTGCAGTATGAAATAAAAGTTTTCTTAATTCAATGTTTATATTTTGATCTTGTAAGAATTAATAGTATTAACTTCTTCATTAGAGAATTTATAATTTTTAGAAATTTATACTTTTAATAATATACATTAAAAAATAAATATTTTTTAATTATTTTAGATAAAATGGCTATGTTAATTATTTTGATATTATGTGGTTTGATAGATCGAATTGGTATACAAAATGGTCATAACAAAAGAACAACCTGGTCCATCAAATCCATCCGGCTCTGCAACAGATGAAAAAGAAAAGGATGACCGTATGTTTGAATGTAATATTTGTCTTGATACAGCTAAGGATGCTGTTGTTAGTCTGTGCGGGCACTTGTTTTGGTAGGTATTAGTACAAAAATAATTAAATAGAAATATAATAATTATAATATATCAATTATAGTTTTGGTAGTAGATAATGATATATAAATATAGATTGTAAGTTGAAAAAATACGAAACATATATAGTAACTTTATCTGTTTTTCTTACATGTTAAAATGAAATTTCTCTAATTTAAAATAATATTTAAATAACAATGAGTCATTATATTCACAGAATATAGTAATTTATAATCTTATGGTCTTTCAAAGTTGTAGTTAATAATTTATAACAATATAATTTATTATAAAAAACAGATTTACTAAGTGACATCGTATTTAGAGTAATAAAATATGTAATAATAAAAGATTGAAAATACTTTTAATTATTACTATTTCTATATTGTTTATTTTAAAAATGTATTTAATTTAATATATATTTAAAGCTTGAATATATAAAAGTTTAAAATTTAAACAAACTATTTACCAATTTTAAAACTTATGTACAATTTTTATAATACAAATATGTAATTTTTACATATATAACAAATTGTATTTTTTACAGATCAATTTTTTATAATAAATTTTATTATTATAAATTTTTAGCTATTTGAAATAAATAATGACAATACTAAGTATACATATATTTTTGATCCTGAAAATAAATTTAATTTTTTTTTTTTATGATAAATTTAGGTAATATATATTCAAATTGTAATTCTCTTTAAAAATTAATATAATTTCTTAAAAAATTGAGAAATATTCCAATATAAAAAATAAACTAGCATTTAATTTGTATGATACCATAATAATAAAATATCATATTGCAAATAGATTTAAAATTTTTTTAATTATTTCATTTATTATTCATTATACATCTAAACATATTCAATGAAATTTATAATATTACATATTAGTACTTTTAACACTTACATATTATATAAACTGTATATATTTTTTGTTCTACTATTTGTTTAATTTTACTTTATTAATTTACTGGTAATTTCTATATTATTTTTAGAATTATAAGTAAAGTAAATGTATACATGAAATATATCTTGTTTTTTATTTGACCTACAAGATAGTATAATCAAAAGTATATGACAATATGACTTATTTCAATTCTACTTATGCACATTTTATTGTGAATTTATTAAATAAATTTTTCATATTGTAGTTGGCCATGTTTACATCAGTGGCTAGAAACTTGTCCTATAAGACAGGTTTGTCCTGTTTGTAAAGCTGCAATTAGTAAAGAAAAAGTAATTCCATTATATGGTAGAGGAGCTACAAAGCAAGAAGATCCAAGGTTTGTTATTATAAAATCTATATTGGTTATTTTTACTACTTGATAAAATTGAAATCTTTTATATAAATTATAAAAATAAAAGTAGTTTGTCTGTATATAAATAAGCTAATTTTGAAAGTATGTTACACTGAGTTTAAAAAATAGAACATTACATAGTAGCTATTAATTAATATTGAATATTCTCATATTTTACAATTTAATTTTATGCTTTTATTTTTTTCACCGACATATATTTCTTATAAATTGTATTTTATTGAGAGACACATAAAAATAATTAATTTTATTTTACAACAGAAACAATGTTCCTCCTCGTCCTGTTGGCCAAAGATCTGAACCAGAAGCTAATGTTGGTTTTCCTGGTTTTGGATTTGGTGATGGTAGTTTTCACATGTTATTTGGCATTGGAGCTTTTCCATTTGGACTTCTTACTTCTTTCAGCTTTGGAGAAACACGACCAAATGCAGGTATAGAAAAGTATTATATTAAATACAATAATGCTATTATAATAAAAAAAGCATAATATAATTTTTTTAATTTTAATTTTTACAATTTTTAATTGACATATTTTGTAATTTAAAATACTATCTGTTGCCATCTTAAAAATGATTATAGTTTGAATTCATATTTATTTCATAAATTATATCAAATTAAAAAATTCATAATATAAATGATAAAATGTCTATTTATCAAACAAAAAAATTAAATTTAACATATCTTAATAATTTTAAGATATATATCTTTAATAATTTTTTTTTAGCACATCGTGGTAGTCCGCAATATGAAGAAGATATATTTCTATCTAAATTATTTTTATGGTTAGCATTTGCCTTCATTGGTTGGCTGCTCTTAGCATAACACTATTTCCAGGTTAAAACTCCTGGATGTGTAAGTTTACTCATCCACTTCTTGTACTAATACATCGATTTTTTCAGTCAATTTTTAAAACAAATTAAAATTTAATAATGAAAATTTCGTTGTACCTAATTATTGTAAGCAACTATTTTTTCAACAGAAACAACTATTTGATTGCTAAATTTGAGTAAAGACATTATTAATATATAATATATTATAATTTGAAAAAAGATTAAATGAATCACAGTAATTTTTAAAGGACAATTTTGTGCTACTATTGATTGATATTCTTAAATAATTTTAATACAGGTGATTTTGAAATTATCAGATTATTAACCATGTATATTAAGTATATTTACAATACACATATATATGTGTGTGTATATATTTTTTTTTTTTTATTAGTTTATCATATCTGATTTATAAGTATTTATGAAAATACTTAGTTCTAAAAAAATTGATAATTATTTACATGTATATACATATAAAAGATATCTTTAGCTACATAAAGTATTTTAACCATACTGAAAATGTAGATTTACATTCCTTAAACCTTCTGGCAATGTTGCAGGAATTTAAAAAATATTGTTCAGCATTTAGATTGTATATAATTCATTAATGCAAATAATCCATATAAATTTGTATTCTTGTAATGGAAACATTAGTAGTTCCAATAGTGTAAATCTGTGTATTTACGTCGCATGACTAATGAATTGTAATATTCCAATATTGCAATACTGTAAAGTACATATTAATTATAAATTGCGGTAACTTTTAAATTATAAGTTATGTAAACTTTTTTTATTTATAATGCATGAAAAAGAAGAGTGTACACTTAAAATTACTTTCAAGTAATATTTATTTTTGTTTGTTTGAAATATATGAATACAATAATAACTTACAATATTTTGAAAATTATAATGCAGACTTATTCAATTACCATCTATGCTCTTACAATGATCATAACATTAATTTAACTACTCATATATATGCTTGTAAAGAGTATAGATTGAATCAGTGTGTATTTTAAAATTGCAGAACACAAAAATTCATCGTACATCAAAATGTGTTTTTTGGACACAAGAAAAGACTGCTTTACGATTACAGCCTGCAATGTTTTCCAGAATCAACACTATTAACCGCTAAATAATATATAATTATTATAACAAATTACATTCAATATATTATGTGCACTCTTTTTGAGGTTTCTCTTTACATTTTATATTCGTAACATACTAACAAATTTTTATTTAATTTATAAAATGGTATAAACTTAATTAGTATGCATACATAAATTTGTATTTGACTGGTTAACGAATATATAATAAAAGTAAATAAACAAAATAAATCTAATACTTTTATTTATTATAATTAATGTATTGAACTGTATCAAAGTTTTATAAATTCTGTTGTAAATTTCGCTATTTTATTGTTAACACAGAGTGCATTTTATATAAAGATGGAAAATTATATGTAAAATAAATTATGTTATACAAAATTATTAAAAATTTTTACTACTAAAATTATGTTTATGTAAACTAATGAGTATTATTAATAAATTATCAACATTTTAAATAGAAAATGTGTACTTAATTTTTTTTTAATGTATTGTGTAAAAATTCAGGAGCATTGCTCACTTAGTATGCTTTATTTGATAATATAAAATCTATAAATCTTAAATACAAAATAAAATAAAACTATTAAAAATTTTACCTAAATTTATCGTTAATAATTTGCTACATTGGTCTAAATTAATAAGGCAAGATAAAAATTTAATGTATAAAAATTATGAATTATAAGCAGTGATTTAAATAGTCTATATAAGAATAAACACTAGACAAAGTTGTGCATTAGCATGTGGAGCACAAGAAAATCTGTATAAGGCTACCTTTAAAGTTATTACAATAAAAGTTGTTATATTTTGTTTAATTATATTCATTATTTAAGTAGAATTTTTAGATTAATAAAAGCTTTTATAGCATAAATGTGAAATAAATTAATTTATGTATAAATATGTAAAGGTAGCCAATACATAATGCATTGGACAATTTAATCACCATATGAATTGTAGTACTAGTGGTTTTATCACAGATTGCAGCTCGAAAGAGGAGAACATGCACTCCTCTTATCTATGGTTAAAGAACAGAATTAATATTAACAGAAAACTTTTAACAAGTGCATTAGAACGTGCCTATTTTATTACCTATTTAGTGCAATAGTATGTTACGTATTTGATATTTTACTGATTTTTTCGTATGTACCCTGGACAAAGTTACATATACTTAATGGGTCAGTTCACATTTGATCAAATAAATATATGTTCAAAAAATAAAAATTCAAATATTTCAATCGATTAATGACTAATAAAATTGATGAAAGTCATTGCAGATTTTCTTTTCAATTTATATTTCATCCTTAATTGGTGAAGATTTTTTGAAACCTTTAGTAACTAATAGATCATTACATTCTTGTTGAGTTAGTTGTGCCAATTTTAATCGCTCTATTTCCTATAATAAGTATTAATATTAGAAATTAATAAACATAATTAACAATTTTAAATTATATCTATAATTATTTTAATGACAAGTATGATTTTTCATTTATATAAATAAGTACATTAATTATTTATAAATATATTATATATGTATATATTTATATATTATAGAAATAAATATTATAATGAAATCAAAACTAAATCAATTAGAGTGAGATTTCACTGTAGGAAGTAACCATTAAATGTTCATATACAAAAACAAGTATAATAAATGATTTATGAATAATCTATGATGATGACTAACCTAAAAAAGTAAATACATTTAAAAAGTATTACAAAAAAATATTAACAGATTCAATATAAAAATATACCTTTTCGTTTTTATTGTAAATAACTAATTCTGGCGGTGCTCCTTGAACATGCTTGAAATCAACATTTTCACTAAAATATTTTTTAAGAAAAAGTATCTTAAGTATACTTTATATAAATAAAACGTTCATTAATATAATAAAAAAAGGAAAAAATTAATTTATTGCATTAATTTGATTCTAAAAGGATACTAATGCTGGAGATCCTCGAAGATAAAATTTTTTACATCAGGTAGTCGATTCAATTGACAACCTTTACAACTCTGAAACAAAGGCAACAATGACAAAAACCTGTTTAATATCAAAACATTCAATCATACAATTTCAATAATATTATTTATGTTTGACCAAAAAAAAATAAATTTACTTCCACAACAGCATAAGAATAATATCCTTCAGCAGTAAGAGACGAAGCGAAGAATGACAGGAGTAGTAAGAAAGAATTGCTAACTGCATATCCAGACATTATTTTGCAGTACCCAGAAACTGATTTAACTATACAAAATCAAAATTAACGGATACAATATCAAAATAACAATACAATAAAACAAAATTAATGGAGTGTGCCCCGTTGCTTCACTACTCCTAAATTTTTGTCGATGCGATTATGAATTGAATATCAACGATATCGCTGTACGTAACCGCGCGCGCGTATATTAGTGAGAAATTGCGTGCGTGGGAAGATCTATCCACTGCTGTTCTGCGCCGGCTTATCATCATCTGTTTCCAGGATTGGAAGTCAACCCCTTTCGAATCAATGTGGCTCCTATTCTTAGAATGCTCCTTTTTTCGCTCAAAATGATAAACCTACCGCAACCCGTATATTAACTGTCATAGAACTTTCATTGAGTCTCGTTTATAGAAAATAAAATCTTATATAATGTTTTTTACTTTTAGTTTGACTTGCGCAGTCATATACAGCATGCGTATTATTTAATCAAATGCGACTTGAAATTAATTGTAATAATACGTGAAGAATTATTCAGATTTCAGTCCACTTAACACATTGCTTAAAAATACAAATAAAAGTTGTATTCTACATCATTCGAGATTTAATCTGTTTAATTTAATAAACGTTATAAAATACTTACAAACTTGTATATGTACATATTTATATATATATAAATTATTGTAAGTTGCAGAATTGAAAAAAAACAATACTTTATTAATCGTCACTATTGAAAATATATTATTATTTATAAAAATAAACTATCATTTATAATAAATTACTTATGTATATTAGAATGACATATTATTTGGTAGGTACTTAAAAATATGATGGATAAAAAAAGTTTTTATTGGCTATTTGAGATGCTAATGGTGTAAACTTGTTTTCAAACTAGATGAACATAGTAAAGTTTTCGTTATAAATAAGTCAATATTCATCTTAGTTATGTTAGAAGCCTAATATTTCTTACCATTTTGAGGTGTTCATTCCTTATTAGTTACGGTGGCCCCTTGAACTTTGTCCTGTGAGGTGAAAGACACCCTTACGATAATTGGATCTATTGACAGCTTTTTCAAGAATGCGTCAGCGATGTTAGCGGGACACAAAAGCAACATCCAAGACAAACTTCTGTTTGATTAATTAACTGCTGATACAACTGTAAAGGAATTTAGGACCGTGTTGTCGATAATCGAATAGTAGCTCGCATTCCTCGATAATCAAAACAAACGTTTTGTTAATTTATTATGATTTTTTACTCTTGCAACCCTCACGTCAATAATTGATCTTAATATTAATTATCGAAGTATTTATGCTATATAGCATATCTTACTTCTAGGATGAAGCTTTTACAAATTTATAAATACCGTTAAAAAATTGTTGAAAACCTCTTAATTTAGCTTTTCATTGTACAATTACGGGCTTACTGACTTAATTATTTCTAAACTTTTTCATTGTATTAATGCAATTTTAAGTTTCAATACAATTAATTTCATTATAAAATGCAAGTTATCAAATAAATTGAGAATGCACAAAAAGTATCCAGTATTTTTGTCCTTTATTTACAAGTTTATGTGTTTACGTGTTTTACCGTAACCAGTTCAATACTACTTTAATAATTTAATATTTCAATACTATTTTAATTCATTAATCATATGACATTATCTTTGGGTTTAAAACAAATAAATGATGTTAAAATATCCATATTTTTTAACAGAAAAAATAATATAGTTTCTTTTTTAATAACAAAATCTTACAGCGATCACCAATTTCTTCATTGTTATTTCAATATTATTATTATTATTATTTTTATTGTCTTGTTTTGTTATTAGATTTTCGAATTATTGATTCAAAACTATTATTAAATGAAATGAATTAAAATCTCATAATTATGAATACTCGATTTTGTTAAAATAAAAATTTAAGTTACACTTAATAAATAATGATAAATCTGAACTGTGTTTAACAATGCTTCGTTAAATTTAAATAATGTATTGAAGGACATGTTAACGTACAACAGTATATAGCCTATCATTAGCCTATCAAATTAGGCTATTTTAATATTATCGATATTTCTTTTCGTTTGTAGTTTTTGTATTATTAATACGGTCAACCGAATGTAAAAAAAGGCAACATGACTAGTGTTAGTATTATACTTTACAATAATGTTTGCTCTTGAAAGCTTGAGTTTCATATCGATTCAACTAAAGTTTAAAATAAAAAACAGAATTTATAAATACAATTTATTGAAATTTCTTGTATTTTTCAAAATTAAAAAAGAATACTAAAGCGAATCATATTGTAGTTAGTGTAGTTAAGTTACACATTAGGAACACATAGTGATAACCTCTTATTTTCTGAAATTTCAAGGAATAAACAGGCTATATTATAAATTAAACGTTTTATTGATGGGACAGAAATTAAGATAAAGTATAATTTTTAGTACCTTAAAATCATGGTGTAATAGACGATCATAATGAAGGCGAGCAGTATCCAAATATTGACATCTCAGGCCGACAAAACTGTGCCAATACGGATGGCAGTTTTTGTTTCGATGCAAAATTTTTCCAAATAATTTTTTTTTGTCTTTCGTATTACTTGCAAGAGAAAACCGCCATCGCAGCTACAGCCAATGCTAAAATCCGAGACAGCAATATCAAAATGTATGCACGCCTACTTTTGTTATATTATTGATCTAATTAATAATTCAATTGTTAAAGGAAATTTTATAAAATATTATAGTTAATCATATTTTATTATTATGAAAATAACATAATATTTTATAATATTTTATTTTATTGTATTTATATTATTTTTTTATTTTACATATACTATGAAAATCTTATTTGGATAAAACAAAACAATATTTTTAAACAAATTATATTATTACTATATAAAATATTTTGTTACATTTCAAAAGAAATATCTTCGACTTCAATATATTCTTTAAGTAATATGTATCATTATGAAACTAGTAGATGCATTGTTATCATTTTAAGAAAGTATTTTAAGTTTTTATAATAATATTATACAGATAAAATATATTTTTATACAAATATCATCATCATAAGTGAAATTTGTTTTTAATAATAAATTTTCAATATTCTTATAGAATTTGTATAATAATCACTAATTAAATAAAAAATATTTAATTATTGTTTTAATGTCAATAACAATAGCTTACCTTTCAAATACTAATATGACAGAAAAAGATATAATTGTTAAAATAAAATTTAATTGTTAGAATGTTAATTAATCGACAACTTGTGCACAATACAAAATTTAATATATCGACTATTTATATACCATTATTCAAAATATTCCAAAAGGATAAATTTGATATTGAATATTTAAACAAATACAGTTAGTTTTCATAAAATTTGCTAATATATAATACATTTTTGGGGTAAAATGGATTTTAATCAAAATGTATATACACAATTTATTATGCTAAAGGTGTCAATTGAAAGCATGTTATTTCTTAATAATAATTTCTTAATGGTTCTAATATTCTAAATCCTAGATCTTATTAGCTTAAATCTTACCTCTCTAGATTTTCGCTCAATTAAACATTCAATAAATATAATAAGTATTTAATTAATTTTATTTGAAAAAAAATGAAAGATAACTTAAATGAGATAATAATTAATATAATATATTAATAATAAAACGCTGAAAATTACGACAAAGGTCATTGTCCGTAAAAGAAAACCATGGAGCTTACAGTCCAACGCTGCAAATAGGTAATCCTGAAAACGGTAGTTCTGAAAATGAAGAGCTAAACACAAAGGAAAATTTTATCAAAATATATAATCATTATATTGAAAACAAACCAATTGTGTGATTCGTGCAACTCATTACGTTTATCCCATACGCATAAGGCCAATCATCGTCACAAGACCTTTCTCGCAATCTCCCATATGGGGCAATATCCCATGGAAACGGAAATTGAAACGTATTCGTGTATTAGGGTATCTGTCAAAAACCACTTGAAATCTTTTCTTGTACTTATTTTGAATTTTGTCATACAATATGCAACGATTTTCGTTTGGAATGTTTATTTTGCTTAAATTTATAATGTTTAATGCTAGATATTTTTGTATCCCAGAACACTTTCGCATTATAAGCAGGCAACATACTGAAGTTATAATTTTATTTTATATTCTATTGGTTTTATAAGATAAATAATAAGTATCCAGCTAATTTTTCAACTTAGCCGATTTATTTTATGTTTTATGATTAATTTTTTTACAAATTTTTATATTAATTTAATATTATAATTAATTAATTTGTAGAAAATAATTCAAATAATTATTTAATATATAAAATAAATAAAAAAGTTTTTATTTTTACAAAAAACGAAGATTTTTAACAATTTATTATTCAATCTTTATAGAATATAAAATATTTCTTTATATGAATCAGAAATTTATATCTTAAATTCTTTACTATTTTTGTTAATAATAAACAGATAAAAAGTTAATGAAATTTTGATGTTGATAAAGTTAACAAAAATACATATATAAAAGATCCTTAAAAAAATATTCATGATTAATAGCAATTTAAAAGTATTCGCTTTATTTAAAAATTAAACTATTTAATTAAAAAATTTCTAATAAATAAATATTATGATTCAAATTCATGTAATTATTATTGTTATGTATTATTGTTCATGTAATTATTCATGTAAAGTTTATTATAAAATATAAAATTACTTTTTGAATGAATAACAAATAACATTAATTATATTTATTTGAAAAAACTAATTAATTTTTTTAATTTTATTTAAAATGATTAACATTAATATTATATATTTATATATACATATATCAATAAGCAGTGAGATAATTGAAAAAAAATAATACTGATATTAAACAAACTAATATTTATAAATTTATAAAGAATTATTTAAAATTTTTTTTAATCTAAATAGAATTAAAAAATTATTTAATAATTAATATATAAATTGTTAATAATATTAATATCATCATACTTTATAAATTTAGAATTAGTATTAATTTAGCAAAAAATTAATGAGAAAATATAATCCTCCTAAATATGTTGTATTTAACAGAGCTTTAAATTGTTTCCGATTAAATATATATAGTATAAAATAATGAATATATCCATAATTTAGATTATTCATTGTAAGTTATAATATAACTACAAATGTTTAAAAATAACGTTAGGTATTCAATAATTTGAAAATTCTTTCCATTATAGTTGGAATATATAGACCTTTTTACGATGAAATTATAATTATTTTAATCATATTTCTATAAAAAAATGTTTATATGATAAGTACCTCGTTAATTTTGTTGCGATAATTGCATGAATTAGACGCATTCAATGAAATGATCGTGCATGTCTAGATCAATTACCGTAATCCGGGCACCACTGCAATCACCATCGAATAAAATCTATATTCAACCAACACTTTTTCTTGCATACATACGGTAAATAATATATTAGTAGTAGACAGTTACACATGCTTGCTCTGATCTTGATTCTGCCTGATGGTTTCACATTTTGAGCGTGAGGGACAATGGAGAAATAACAATGGTGATGCATACTGGGTATTAAGAGCAACGAGAACCTTAATAGAACAGATTTTATTTGACAGAATTTGTAAAACATACTTTTCTTATTTTTAATTTGTTTTTATAGAACATAATGCGTCATATGCGTAGTAAAGGCGTATGTGTAACGCTTTATCGCATATTATCACTTCTATCATTTGATATTTATAAATCCATTCTCAATACTGGTGAGCCTTGAATTTAATTAACAAAACTTTCTTCGCGAACTGTTTTGATTTTTAATTACAGAAGCAGGAAAAATCTGATAAATTTGAAATTCGCATATTTACAAATTTGTATTTCTGTCAATAATTAATTATTATACCGAATCAGTACTTTTCTGCAAAAATTTTCAGCTAAAATTACGAGAAAAATTAAAAATGAATCTTCACTTGACAATTTATTTTTGCACTGAAGAGTTTATCTTGTGATCCAAGTTACAAAAGTTCTACGCTAAATAATACTCAAATGACTGAATATTTGTATATTTTAGTAACTCCTTAAACATTAAAACAAGTGATTGAAATACTTTTGATGAAATATTTAATTTTTACATTAAAAATAACTCAATATTTAATTTTAAAATTTTATAATGAATTTTTATATGATTAAAATTTATATAACACATCAATTGCGGTAGATCACAGATAAAAATGACTCATCTTTTTTGAATGGATAAGTAAAAAAGTCTTTTTTACGAAATATAATAAAATATATCTTGAATCTCGTTAAATAATATTAGACTCAATGATATTTTTATTAGCTTTAAAAAACATACACAACATTTTTATTTTCATTCATAAAACTGTATTCGCAATGCAATTACAAGAAATAAATTTTATACGTAAGAAATACATAGATAGTTATTATTTTATAACTAAATGTTCACAAGTAAAAATCTAATTAAGAATTTCAAATAATTAGTACAAACGTTTCATTTAATATACAGTACGTATTCATTCCTTCTAATTCATTTTTATTCACTGAATATAGATATTTATAATCATTAGTTGTTGCCTCAATAAAAAACTGATGTATTTACAAATAGCTTATTTTTAGGATTTTGTAAACAAACAACCTATATGTTATAATATTATTGATACAAATAAATGAAAATAGTTTATGCATACATACATATAAACAATCGTGCAGAAATACATCCATACTTATGTGTATGACGTACATAACGTATTCATGCGTACTATGTATGCAAATTATTATGCGTGTATAATGTATATACCGTACATGCATAATAATATGCATATATAATATACATGCATGCAAGTACATTAGCAAATATTGGTACAAGTACGTATGTGTTTATTTAAGTATATATGTAGATATGGGTGCATATATGTATGTACGTATGTATATATACACTGAACATATTCACCTATTTATTATTAATAAATAGAAAGACATTATCATTGCACCAAAGAGAAATTTTGTATTCGAACTCTTTACACATCAATCGTAGTCAAGTATGCTTTATAAGACTCTCCTCATACGCTAATTACGTAGTTTATATAAGCGAAAATTGAAAATTGTGATGCACACATTTCCATTTTAAACTTAAATATATTATATTTAAGTAATATGCAAGCTTACTATGTACTTTTTATTTTTTCAACGTCTCTTTCAATAAATTAATTTTATTCAAGAAATATTAATATGCTTCTATTATATATTAATTCTCCTAAATTCTATTAATAATGAAAAAATACCAAGCTGGCATATTATCATTTAATTATGAGAATCAAGTAATAATTGTGTTAAACAAAATTTTAAATGACGATTCATTAACGTAGATAAATGTTTACAAGTATTTCTTATTTTTAAGAGCACTTTACGTATAATTTCTAGCGATTCCATATCATATGAAAGAATACAAAATTAAGATCGAATGAAATCATGAAATCATATTTAAAAACTGTAAAATAAAATAATAATTAAAATGAAAGAAAGTATATTTAACGTACTGCATGCCATTTAAATACGTTTTACATTGTACTATTTTCATAAATCAACATATTTAAGTGAATAATTGTATTTATTATAACATAATTATCCAAAATACCATGGACTGAAGTATGGACAAAGTACGTAAATTAAAATAATTTTCAAAAATTAAAAAAAAATGTATTTAAAAAGTATCAAATTAAATTAGCCAATTTAATATATTTTTATTTTTCTACTTAAATTTTGTTTACAGATATTACCAAAAATAGGATAAAATAATTTTAAAAATATTTATTTAGAAAATCTGGCTATTTTTTACAATTTTTTTCGAAAATAATCGTATAAGATATATTTTACAAAAAATTATAAGTTACACCGATATTTACTCTGAAATACATTTAATGAATTACATTACATCAAACGATTTAAAATATTTGATCAGTGTTTCTTTTTGTATTTATAGAAAAAATTAAAAAAATTTTAATATTCATTATTCATTAATATCAATAGTTTTGTATAAGAGTAAATTAATTCTAGAATAACATTATCATCCGATAAAAAAAATAAAGAAATCAACAACAAACAAAAGATCAAAGATCAATAGCGAAACAAACAATAGCGTATAATTAATTTAAAATTATCATACGAAGTAAAAATATAAGGAGGCATTTTCATTGTGTTGTCTAAGCATCGTAAATGAAAATCAATTCTGACAGATTTTAGAAAGCTGCGTCTATTTCTTTTAGTCAAGCATTATTTATCTTGAATTAAATCATGTAAATAATACAACCTATATATTTATAATTTTTAGTAAAATTTTAATGAAGATATAGTTTGGCTCTGAATCGAAACTTGTAGAAATCATTTACTTGAAAATTTATTAGAATAAAAAAATGGCTCCAAAGATAGCAGATGAAACGGTGTTTTTAAAATGAATTTTTTATTATATGCATATGCTTTATCAGAACTAGACGGCAATCGCTAAAAACAAATTACTTAAGTCATAATAAGGAACACAAAAATTGTGGTAGAACCGTTACTCTACAACGCGAGACACTAATACGGTGCACGAGTATCCTGCAAGTGCATAAAAAAGATGCTGTTCTCGCTTTAAAAGAACCTAAGAATATTAAATTAATACGAATAAACCTAGAGTATACGGCACTACAATTACGCTCGATGTTCCAGCCTTGATTTCTCACGAATAAATGCCGAGGAGAGGCACTCAGTTTTTTTTGTCCTTGCGTCAATGAGACACCGGCTCCAGTGCAGTATAAACGCTTCATCCCTCGTGAAGAGCCTGGGCCGGGGGCGGCTGCGGCGGCGGAGGCGTTGGCACGGTAAGTTCCTCATCTTCAGGTTCCTCCTCCTCCTCGTGCATGAGAAAGTTGTCGACTTCATGGACCTCAACTTCACGTGCCGGCTCCGGCGGTACTGTCGTATTCTCTCGCTCGTGTTGCTTCACATGGTCTTTTAGGGCGAATGCTCGCCCATACGAAGCACCACATACGTTACAGCTGAACTTAAGGTTGTTGTCCTTCTTGTGAGTTTGTATATGAGCCCGGGCCGCATAAAGGGAGGCAAATGGCCGCGAACACTCGGTGCACCGGAATGGCTTCGTGTGGCTGTTCTTGTGGCCGGCGAGTTGTACCCGGGTCTTGAACGTCTTTGGGCAATAAGGGCAGGTATAGGCTCGCTCCTCACCGTGCGTTAGTAGGTGGTGGTTGTACACAGAGGACGCCTTGAAGCGTTTGCCACAGTGCTGACATTCGTAAGGACGCACTCCCGTGTGCGTGCGCATATGAAGAGTTAGACAATACGAGACCCGGAACTTCTTGCCGCAAACCTGCCGAGCGTCGATGCACAATCACTATTTTGTCCGATTCGACTCATTTAGACAAATATTATTTTGCGCAAGGGATTTTTATACCAATTTTATTAAACGGGGTAATTAATGAAGCCACAATTATTTCAGCTTTATTTGCGTTGGAAGCCTTGCACGTAACAGAACAATACGTTCAACACTAATTTTGTACGATGTGTTTTCCCACAACATTCTTATCTATTTAATAACAATATTTACAGTCGATGACTCATATATTTAAAAAAAATTTATATTATTACAGCAATAAGAATAATCTTTATTATCTATCCATCCATCCATCCATCAATCCACCCATTCATCCATCCGATCATCCATCCATTAATCCATGCGTGTATCCATCCATACATACGTACATCCAACAATCCATCCATCTACCCATGTATCCATCCATCCATTCGTCCATCCATCCATCAACCATCCACCCATCCGTCTATTTATAAATATGCGTATGTTTATATATCCGATTAAATTATTTAAACTTTAAATGTAAGAAAATTATGAGATAAATATGGACTATAGGACTCAAAACTTTGTAAATATTAAAAAATAAAACTGCAAGTCAAATCAGTAAATAAAAGTAAAACAAATGACTGTGTTATGTATTATAATATAAACAACAATAGCAACAAGGCATTATTAATAATGCTCTAGAAAATTATTGCAAAAATACCAATAAACTAGGCCTTTGATCTGAGTAGTTAATGTATGTAGATTTTTTATAAATAGTAAGACAATATAGATACCAAAAATATAATAAAGGAACAATTATTTACAATTGCCCAGTGGGCAAGTAATGATGACACCAGAATAATAAAGAATTTTCGTACATTAATAAGTACTGACTCCGGAGAGTCCTTCCTGATAAAATTCAAAATTTAGGACAATACACATTTAATACATATTTAGAGGTATTTTGTTTTAATAAATATTTCGTAATAGTTCAATTACTGCTGTTTTGTTAATATGTTGAATCGGACGATCGTGGAAGCCGCTCTTTATATTCTGAATGCTTTTCTTAATTTATTTAATAAAAATATATTTGTAAGCTTACATAAATTTTCATAAACTAATTATTTAACGAATTTGAACAAAATTCAAAAATAAAATCTTATCCATTTTAAAAGACTGTGTCATTTAATCAAGCAGATATAAAGAATCAGCTTCCAAATTTGCAATGTAAGTACATTTGCGAGGGACGTTACCCAAGCATTTAATTCCTCAACTAAGTTAAACTATAGAGAAGTTAATCTTATAATTCTTTGCGAGCGTAAAAAACTAGAGCGAATTCCAAGTAACCGAGAAAACTTAATAGCGAATATAAACATGTGTAATATCTAATAAAACGAAGTAAAAATTAATTATAAATAAAAAATATTAAATTAAAGGTAACAAAAAAATAAAAATTTTGTACCTCGCACGAGTGGGGCTTCTCTCCAGTATGTATCCTCTCATGCTTAACTTTTTCGTGGGGCCGCGTGAATCTACGCCCGCAGTGTTGACATTGGTAAGGTTTATGGCTCTGGACCTCAACGGCATCAGCGATCGGTGCATTGACGGTGGCTGTGATGATGTTGGCCGCGTACAGAGTCTCAGCATTACTCTGGGAAGTGGAAAGTGCAAGCTCGGCTACGATTCCACCTCCAGACCCATTCCCGAAGCTGCTGCTACCGCTGCTACTACCTCCTCCGCTACCACCACCACTGCCACCACCCCCAGGGCCCGGTGAGCCTACATTAATCTCCGTATGCACGGCTGCGTGCATCGAAAGACTCTCAGCCGAATCAAATTTTCGGTTACACACCGCGCACGTGATTGTATCACCGGCATGGAGGGCCATATGTGCAGTCCTATATGACTCCGAAAGGGTCGTACCTAAAATAATCAAGAGCTTGATCAGAACATTCAATTATTGACTTTCTCTCTCCCTCTCTCTCCCTGTATGTGCTTTACTATATACACCATTGTACAGTATAACGAGATATTTTATAAAGCACTTTTTCAAAAATACTATATTTTTCTTCAAATTTTCAATAGCTTGCTTTAAACGGTTTATATATACTTATATACATTATATTTTAATACGTTTCAAAAATAATATTTTCACGCCATTATCAAAGATTCTTTTATTTACTAATGCGTTTCACAATTAAAATTTTTTCCATTTCATTACTTTTGTTTTTTAAGATCAAATAAGTATAGTTTTAAAATAACCCATACCGCATTCGTTGCAAACAAAAGTTTCTTCTTCAGTTCCTTCAGGTGCCTCGACGTGACGTGCCCTGACAGGGGCATGCATTCTCGAATGCAATCGTAAACTTTTATGTGTTAAAAATTCTGTACCACATACAGGACACAAAAATATCTTTTGAGATGGAAAATCATTATTTTCATGTACTTTCATATGAATCTGCAACGCTTTCCCCGTTGCAAATGTTTGATCGCATTGGTCGCATCGATTGTTTCCTTGAAGGCACACGTGAACGCGAAAATCGCCTAACTTAGCGAATTGCTCTAAACATTGATTGCACCTGTACATTCGTGTTGGAGCAACCGTTACACTTTTATCTCTAACCTAAAATAAAATAAAACAATATGAAGTAAACCGTTAACCATTAAAAACTAGAACAAGGACAGTATAAAAGAATTTAATAGATTCTTGTATATTTCAATACTGTATTTAAATTTAAATTTTCATTATTATAAATATACAAAAATTATTTATAGTAAGTTTTGTATTTATTCTTTATATCTGATTAATTTAGATTATATTCTCCAAGAATTATTATTATATATTATATATAATAAAGATTAATGCAAATAACTTTACTTATATATTTATTTTGTAGTTAATTATTATATTTTTTTTCTTCATATCTTATTCTTTAATGCTTATTTTAAGTAACAAATATAATTATATCATATTTTAAAATTTGTTTAAATATTATATTTAACAATAATAAATGATTATACCTTAACTCCTTCAACATTGGAGAAAAATTTTTCAATCATTGGAGCTTTTGTTGAAGATAATGTAACTGGGGTTCTATCCCAAAATCTTTCGATTTGCACAACTTTTCTTGTATATAATCTTCCATCGCTATCAATACATTCTTCGGTTCTTAATGTATTCATTAGCTGCCTTTGTTTTGATGGAACTGCTGTTGTATGAACAACATTATTTGGTAACTGAATTGGTGTACTTGTAATAATAGGTGATGGATGTATTGTTTCTGTTGTTGTTGATTGTATTTCATCTATTTGTTGCTCAGCCATTTCTAATACAACTTCTTGCCCATCATGATATTTCTTTATATGTTCTAATACAGAACTAAAACTTACGCTACAAGTACTACAACTATACATTATATCTAATTCCTGTTAATATATAGGAAAAATTATATAAATGCATTAGACAATTTGTATAATATTTAAGCATACCTGTTCTTTATCCAGTGTTTCATCACATTCTTTTTTAATTTTGAGTATATCACAATCATCAAATTGCATATCTTCAACTTGTGTCATACAAATTAATGTTGTTTCATCTTCATTTAATAATTCAGAATTATCAACTATACTGGCAATAGAGTCTTCTTTATTTGAATTGCTTATTACATTATTATGTTGCAATGAATTAGAAGAATCAGAAAGTTGAATTTCCTCATCTGCATTAGTTATAACCTTTTCACAATTTATAAGAGACATAGATTCATCTTCATTTATTGAATTTGTTTTTTCTAAAACTTGGATATCTCCTGGATGTAATATGTTTTTATTAATTTATTAAGGCAATATCTGATTACATTAAAAACTTAGATATAAAATTAATAAAAAATATTTAAACATGATCAACTAATTTATTAAAAAATTATTTAAAAAAATACTCTTAACTATGAATTAAATTTGAATTTAATGATAAATTAAAATAACATTAATAACTGTACAATTAATAATTAATAATTAATAAATTATAGTTTATATTAATTATTGACTTATATATTTATTACCTTTTTTATGATTATATAAAATAAATTAAAATTACTAATCAATTAAGATTTGAGTTTGCATTACTACCTACCATTTTCATCTACTTGAATTGTTCTACCTTCACCAACAATCATTATTCCATCTTCATTGACAGTTGCCAAAAAACTATCATTAATAGCATCATCATTTTCATCCTATAAATTAATTATTACACATAATTATGGAGACAAACTTAAATATAAATTTGACTTCCATTTTGAATAAAATTATTCACCATTAAGATATCTGTCTCTTCATTATCATTATCTTCAACCTCTAATTCATTAGAATTTGGTCCCATATCTTTTCGATGCTCTTCTTGATCTATTTCTTTTCCACAACAATCTAAATGTTGAATTAAAGCAGCTACTGAGTAAGTCCTTAAAGAGCATCCAGGACAGTATAGATTATCAGTCATGCTTAATAAATGATACTTAAGAGACTCAGAATTATTAAAAGTTTCTCCGCAACACATAGGGCATATTAGATTTATCGAACCCATATTGATTATATGATTTCAAGTTCTTAATATTATTCCAGCAATGATGATACGTTCAAACACTAAAACTCTCTTTTGTTGACTATGGGCTAGCCAAACCTGAGGCTGCAGATAAGACCTGAGGCTGCAGATAAGTCCTCAGACAATCTTTTTATAAACAATCTAACCTGATATTATAGGCATTCAATGTACCTATAGTATTCTGAAAAAAGACTTGGACACCATGTGATGTCATTTTTGGGCGTTCAATCTAACCTTGTACGACTCAATAAAAGCGAAAAATCGAAGACTTCACAATTACCTTTTACATAAAATTGAAATGATCCGTAATCAAACCGCCACAGAAATCGCAAGACCGAGACACTAAATGATTGGAGACAAACTTCAGCGCAAACAAATGCCGTACACAACAATCATGAAGTTATGAACGTAGTGAATAAGTGAACGGGAGAGAAAATATGTCGGCTATTGCTGCCAAGCAAATGACACACCATCACGAAGAAAAATGCTTAAGTCAAGCGAGAACTCATTCGTTTTTAAAAAATAAAATATTGATGTTAAAATTTGTATTCTGATTTTATTTTGAAAAAATTTTTAGCCACACTTATTTCTCATGCAAAAAGAAATGTAATTGGCATTTGATATTTCAAGGTTACATTTGGCAATCAATATATACAGAATTATTGAATAATTTTTGTTAAAAATAATGATAACTTAGATTTTAGAATATTAATGTAGCTTTATTGAAAAATTGTATACATCCATTGAATTATGTATGCTTATAAATCAATTTATTAATAAATTTAAATAATTTTTTTACATATCTAATTTATTTATAGTTTTCGTTTTGTTTTTTTTATAATAAAATGATTGAAAATAATGTACTTCATTATTTATCAGCATACATTACAACTATATTAACATGTAATGTTTTTATTTTTAATATTTCTAATGAGTAAATTATTTTTTCATAATTAAAATTAGATTATGAAAATAAAAGATTAGAATATAATAATTATTCATGCGTGTATATATATATATATGCATGTATGTATATACATATATATTTTATTATTTTATTTTATTATTATTATTTTATTATTTTATTTTATTATTATTATTTTATTATTTTATTATTAAATATATGTACGATTTAATTAAATGAAAATATACCTACAGTTTTAAATTCAATTTTATAATAATAAACAAGGTCTATCACTCATTAAACTCTTTATTTTTAATCATTATCTTACAATTTTTATATCTTTTGATTATTCGTATAATAAAACAATATATTTTGAATAAATTTTTTCTAAAAGGTTAAGTCAATTTTCAAAATAATACAATAATATTTGAATTATATAACATAAATAAGTATTTTAGTATAAATTCACATTTTATTCAAATATGAAGTATAAGGTATGTATTAAGCATAAATACAAAAATAATGATTGAATTAAATGCTTGAATTAAAAAATCTACACTAATTAATCAGTATCCCATAAACTCATGATCCGAACCTTCGTCTCCCTCCTCAGCTTCCTCTTCCTCAGCAACATGATCCTTCCTGCGTCGAGTATAAGCTCGCTTACTGGTCACTGGTACTATATCTGTTTCACCATGTAATAAACTATTTCTATATAATAATAGTGGCTGCCAATCTTCTCCCCTTGAAGATGGCATTCCT